TCCATTAATTCTTACAATTGGACCTTGAGTTCTTGCAACTCTACAGGTGTCATTCTATGCGGAGTCATAGAAATGGACGATGTATTGGGGTGTAACTCAATAGCGAAGTCTACATCCCTATGTGGAGGTAATCTTGATAGTTCATCCAAAAAAATATCCTCATACTCACAAAATCACCCTAGGTAGACCCAACTCTTGTCTCGCCTCATCCTCCAAGGTAAGGCTTGCTAGCCAACCCATCAACTGCTCATGCCAACGGGAGTCATACACTACTTGGGGTAAAATGTCGTGTTTCTCCCTCTGAAACTTAAAACAAACACCGTCTAATGTGTAGGTAGTGACTCTCTTTCAATCACAATCAATGACGACTCGGTGTGTCGCCAACTAGTCCATCCCAAGGATGACATCAAACTCCAACATGTCTATGACCCTAAGGTCTATTGTGAGTAGAATCCTTGAGATCTCTAGCTCGTAACCATGGACTTTAAACCTTTTTCACTCTCACAATGAAAGATGATAGACTCATTTACCACAAGGCCTATATAAGATCTATGGCATATGCTCTGATACTAAGTTATGACGCCCCAAAAATTGGGGGTCCTTTGTCAAACCGTTGATCACCCATCAACCCACAGAATACTCATGAATGTCGTGCAACTCGATATCATGTCGTTATGTTCCATTTTTCGGGATACATAATTTAACGAAATTCGATCAGAGTTTTTTTTGTATGGGGAACTCTACTCAAAGCACAACCTATGCAATTATACAATATTAACCATACCGGGTCCATTTATCCATACTCATATAACAATATTTAATTACATAACTCATCTGAGGTCTAATATACATCAATTCATACTCTCACATCATGAATTTATACATCAAACATAGTTAATACAAGTTCAATTACAATCATTTTCATAGATTTACATGTCCAAAACCTAACTTAGCGAATGTTTTACAAATGCATAGTTTTTCACAATAATTTTACAAAACGTGAATTAAAAGTTACAAGTTAGTTTTTCTTCATCCTTGAGGCCCCAAATACAAGTCATCCACCAGTGTATAACCCGCACCTGAAATGTTTTTTCATAAAGGGTGAGTCACGCTCAATATGGTATCTCCTACAGAGGTCACTCCTCAGCGTAAGTGCATATGAAATGTTTACATGCAACAACCATTTCAATCAAGAATATGCAATTCAATATTGAAAATCACCATGTCATGCCATGAAATGAAATGAGACTCATTCATGCACTTCAACCTGAGTCATTTCCGGCTCCTACAACACCATGTAATGCCAATGTGTATAAATCTGTCATTGATGATATACGTCCAATTATCTTTTTAAAATAATTATTGTGTCTTTGTTATAAAACAAAATCATGTGTCTTTGTTAGACGTTACACATGTAATGACTATTTTATAAAACAAAATCATATGTCTTGGTTGGATAGTAGAGTTTTTGTGTTGCACCGCCTGTTCCGCATACCGATACACTTTTTTGAAATTGCACCACAGGGGATTGTATGAACCAAGTAGTTGAGTCTTGCACCCGAGGGAGAATCTAGCCCTACTTGCTATACCTGACATAAGTTTTTCATGCAACCATGCAACTCAGCCGGATCTTTGATCCAACCTTTCCGAGTCCATTTATCAACCACCAAGAATGATGTTTGATCAACCATACACACACACACATACACTCATGCCCCATGCCCATGAATGTGATGTCTCCATGCTTATGGAATGTAACGAGCAATTGCAACATCAATATCATATCCATATGTAATGAATGTCATATGAATTATTTCTACCACATTTTAACACATACCATGGATAATTATATCCTAAGCATATAATTTCCATAAATCATCACAATGCCACTATATCACAAGCACATAGTTCTCATAATTTTTCACAATGTCAATATATCAATAAACACATACCAACATTTTACCTAGCAATAACACTCAAGCATGTTATTACATAATCAAGCAATAAACACACTTAATTCCAAAGGCATAATGTAAAATACCTAACATGCCCAAATATCACAATCTTTCTAAAAACCACAACCTAGCAATTTCTAATAACCCATTCAAGCTAGAATTGATTTTAGCTAATTTTAATACCCATTTCATAGAATCAACCTAAGTTAAAAATAAACCTAATTATGAAGAAAACTCTACCTCTTGAAGCGTAAAATCAACGTAGGAAGCTTCAAGAATTCAATCCAAGCTCTAATTCAAGCTTTTCCAAAATTTTATTTTTTGAACCTTCAGTGAAAACCTTTGTTTTTGATATGGTTGTGTAGCCCTCGTCGAGGAGATCGACTTTAATTCTTGACTCGAGTTGATTTGAGCGACGGATAGGCGTAGATCGTAGAGAGAAGCTTTAAAATCTCTCTTCTCTCCCATGTAAAGACCCAACTGATGAATAGGGGAGAAATCTGATTTTCTCCCCCTATTTATAGTCTTTAATTGCTTAGTCCACAATGCGTCACACATCCTCCTTTCCCGGCTCCGTTTTCGCCTCAAAACGATTAAATTTTGCTCCGATTCAAGTTCAAATATATTTAAATTATTTTTAAAATTTCAAAAATTTATTAAAATTTTCGTTTGTGTCACCCGAGAGACCCAACGCCTCGTAAAACATGAAAAATTCGACTATCTTGAAATTCGACAAAATTTGTCTAGGTAACTAGATTCTACGAGACGAATCCAACAATGAGGTTCATTTCATTATCCGAGTTCTAGAAAAATTTAAGTTTTCAACCTATACTGAAATAACAAATTTTTGTTTTGTCCTTTTTCATAAAAGTTCAAATTTACCCGGATTTTACATGAGCACTAAAAGGTATTGCTCAAAGAGAAGTCTAACTGTGACTCAAACTATATTTTCAAAACACAAAATTGGTTTAGAAACACTTTTCTTTGAAAAATCCTAGGAGTTATAATCGAATCGCTTCTAATTCCATTTTTCATCCTAACTATCCTTAAGCTAAAAATAACTAAGGACTCAACTTAGGTGTCTAGGTCATTTACCTTTGTCCTAAGGAAGAAGGTGCATATGGAGGTTGGATAATGTAGCTTTGACGCTTGATCTCCTCCCTTTAATATTGCTTTTGGATCTGGAACTTAATATCATCATGATCATAGAAGTGGTTGAAATTTTACAATGGACTCCACAAAATTAGTCAATTATAAAATATGATCTAACATATTTTACACAACAAAACTACATTTTAAACAAAAAGAGAGAGATGCAATAATAAGAACTTAGTTTTTTCGGATCAATTGTGATTGTCAATTGATCTTTTAGTTAGCTCCAAAAAACTATCAACTGATCTTTTAGATTTAGCCTTACACTTCATAGATTTTTTTGTGGGGCTTAGGCTTTTATATAGGGTATAGAATTATGATCTAAACTACTATGGGTCAATTGGAGGCCGGTCTACATTTGTGGACTTTTAGGTCAATCAGTTCATGCGCATACTTTTTGCAACTTAAATGATAATTAAAGGCATAAAGACTAATTTACTCTTAATGACATAAATAACTCTATTAAAAAATGGATAGTAACATCAAAACAATAACAGTAACAGTGATAACGACATAGTAATCATAAAATATTGCAATAATATTGAGAAAATAACAATGACAACGATAATAAATTTTTATTGTCACTGTCCAAATTTCAGAGAACTAGATAGTAGCGTGAATTTTTATTACAGAAGTAAATGAAAATTAAATATACTAATAGACGTATACCTTTCCCTTCCTCTGTTATCGGATTCTTACGTTGATATTTCAATTTTAGCACTCTCCTTCTGCCATATGATAAATTTAAAATTTCAAACAACAAAAGGCAAATAAAAGACACTAACAATTGTAAGCACGAGAATTGAAAATTCATTCGAGATTTCAATGAGAAGAATATGCGTACCTGTGAGAGAGAGAGAGAGAGGAGAAAGTACTTGAATTATGAGAATACTCTCATACTTCCATCTCTAAGAATTTTACCCTTTTGTTCGCGAGTTTGCCTGATCCATTACTCGAGCAACAAGAAGTGAGATTGTGATCAGACCTAGGTCTTGCGGACCGAACATTCAAACCATTTGTCTACTCGAATTCCTCGATGTTGCCCGCAGAACCCAGTTTTTTGGTGTCAGACATCATAGCTTAGCAAACAATGTACACAGAGAGAGAGAGAGAGAGAGAGGTACTAGGAATATACACCGGAGGACATAATAGAAAAAAATAGACTATTGGATCTACTTAAAAAAAATACATAGCATGTGAACTTCATAACTCAAAAAGATTGCACATGGATTTATTAACAAAAGATATCCCCATATTATATTTGATTCTAATTTTCAAAACTAATATCTAAACTGGTTAGGTGCAAACCAGTTGGGGTGGCTCACTAAGCCCATTAATTGCAAGTTTGCCCAAGCACAGTTCTGCCCTGTTGACCTTAATAGCTTGGGATTTATTCTGGTCTCAAGGATCAAAATTTTTATTTCAACGCATTATTTTGATCACCAAAAAAATAAAATATTTTGAAAAAAATTCAGAAATATAATAAATATAATTTATTAATTTATTTTTAAAATAGTCCAAAAAATTAAACAAAAAATATTGAAACATTTTAAAATACCTCAAAACACCCTCAAAGGTTGGTGAAAAATATGCTGAAACATGTCAAAACACTATACCTCAGAGCATTGAAGTTTCATGATTTATTTTGATTTTCTTGAAATGGAAACACCAAGACAAGACCATTTTGGAATGAGATTTTGTTTCTGGACCATTTATTAACGGGCCGGGCTGGCCGACCCTTTTCCTAAAAGTGCATTTCCGTAATTTGACTGGCACAATCGGTAAACCCTTTCTTAAACCCTACTGGTATGACCAAAACGACAGAGGCGGGCCGCTCTACTCGAAAGCTCTTTGGCTCTCTTTGGCTCTAGTATCTTCTTCTGCTTCAAGCAAATGGCTAGGCGTTTAATCCCTTCTCTGAACCGCGTTTTGGTTGAGAAAATCATCCCTCCATCAAAGACCAATGCTGGAATTTTACTCCCAGAGAAGACCACCAAGGTTACTTCCCGAAACTACCATTCTTCTCTCTTCTTCATAAATTTTTTGTAATATTTTGAATCTGTCTGATTGATGTTTTGTGGAAAATCTTAAATTAACAACGTGAGTGTCATGGACTGCCTTTGTATTTGATTTCATATATTTTGTTGTTGTAACATTTTGATTGCTGTAGTTCGTAGTTATGGTTCTGGTTTCATTTCATAACTTTGAACTGTGTTTTAGTTATTTTACTTCTTCTCTCATGCTTTCTGATGAAATAATGGTGAGAAATAATGTCAATGGTTGTTTTTTAAAATTTAGAATATGTGCTGGTTTGGGTTTTTTGAGGATTCTACTTGTGTGGTTTCATGGTTCCGGTTCTTCTTGCCCAGTTTTGTGTTTGGTTGCTGGGAAAATAGAGGGAAATGGGACTGTTTAGATTTTTGGGTTATATCAACTGAAAATGCAAAGGTAAATTTTTTATTAGGCCCCGATAGTCATTTTTGTGATTTTTGGGTTCTCAATTGTGAATATTTGCATGTTGCAAAGTTTCACATTTTTCTTTCCCAGTTTTTCAGTCAGCTATGATAGGTAGGTTAGCGGGAATGTTCTCTGTATAAACTCTGTTGTATCTGTTTTGTGGAGTTTTTTGTTTTGATGTTAGTTTATGTTCTTGCTAGAGATCCTTTTTCAAACGTACTCCCATTTCGAGTCGAGAGATGGATAAATAGTAACATTCCATTGCTCTGATCATTGGTATTTGTAGTGACTGAGGGGGTCAATGACCCAGAAGTGAGTTATTTATACTATGCATTCTTCTTCCAAGTAGATCCAATCTCTTGGTCCCCATGGAAAGGAAAAACATTTTATGCTCTTTGAAGGAAAAGATTAGGAAAATCCTATCGGTTGCAGTTATTTCCATACCTTTCGGAAAAGTATGAAAAAAAAGCTCAAACATAGTTGTCAAATCACGATTCGTATCATAAATCGAAATCCTAAATTTGAGAATCGTGAATCGTAAGATTCGACACAAAATTTGAACAAAAATAAAAAATAATACTACATATTTATAATAGACAAAATATTGAATATTGAATATTATTGTATTCTAAAAATAATCAATTGACATAATCACGTCGTTTAAATAGAAAGATATGAGCCTTTTGTTTCATTTTCATCTTTTGTTTAACCATTTTTTAAATTCAACAACTTAAAAGGAAAATTCATTCAAGAATCATGGTTATTCAAGAACCAAAATAGTGACACCAAGTATATATTAGGTTACAAACATAAATGGAAAAAGAACAAATAAAAAAATTGATTCAGAGAAAACATATAGGCCAATATTTTGAAATAAAAAATTAGAACCTAACAAACTATCGATGAAAGAATTGAGAGCAAAAATCAACCAATAATGGGAGAACGTTAGCCGTGACATTTAACTTTAGACAACGCAAGATTAGTTTTAGACGACATCAGAGAGAGAACGAGTAAAGAGGTTGAATTTTTATTAGGGCGTGAGTTTGTCTATAAACTAAACGACTTCGTTTAACTCTTTAACCGACAAAACGACATCGTTTTTTCAAAATTTTGGATTATAAAAAAAAGTGATTGAATCGTGCGATTCGTGAGATACGAATCAAATTGTACTATTCAACTCTAAAACAATTCTCATATAAGATACAAATCATTTTGTACGTGTATCAAATCGAATCGCATGAATCGAATCGCGAATTGCAGTGTTATTTAAGGCGTAAAGTGAATCGAACTGGATCGGTTTCCAGAAGGCCTAGGCGAGAAGCGAGAAGTGAAGTGACTGTTTCATCGAAGTAAAGTAAACAATATAAAAAATAAGCAATATTTTAGTATGATACTTTGATTACTCTTAAATATTCAAGTTTTAACTTTACAAATACAAAATATTTAAATGAAATATCAACAAATTTTAAATAGACAATATATTAAATATTGAGTATTATTGCGTTCTAAAAATAATTAATTAACATAATCACGTCATCTAAATGTAAAGCTAGCAAATGTGGGTTTGACTTCCACCGTGATTGATTAATATTACCACTAAATGGAACACTCATAAATTGTTTAATCAATAGAACATATAGCAAGTTGATTAATCAATCTGATTAACTAAGCAAATTGATTAACAAGAACATTCACATTAAAACAGATCATCTAATCATAATAAGACAAATTGTCATATGATAGGGTTAAATGAATTGATCAATTTATTTTATATATATACACATATAACATTATTTTTGCTAGGGTTTGGTTAATATTAAGAAAAAAGAAGAAGGAGGAGGGGGGAGGGACGAGGAGTAGAAAATAAATAAACTGCAGTCAAGCGTTCGCTTTTCTTCCTTGGCTCTCTTCTTCGTTTTGTCGCTTAGGCTCGCTTTTTTTTCGCTTTACTTAACCTTGCTTTCGCCTGGGATGTTCAAGGCGATCAAGCTCGCTTCGCTTTTCACTTAGGCGCTTGCGTAGGTTCACTTTTCACAACACTGGTGAATCATACGATTTGATAACTATGAGCTCAAATTTTACTATTCCTCCATTACCCTAGAATGAAAGGGGTGATTTCGTAAAATGCATTGTTAGGTGCTATATTTGATTTTTCCATTGAGGCCAAACCTGATCATGTACTTTAGAGAGATAGTTGTCCACATACGGATAAGAGATGTATGGATTCTCGAGAAAAAAGGAGCATGGTCGCCCAAGACCGCTCGGACCTCACGAGTGAATCAAAAGTTGAATCTACATTGGATCTCACATGAATATCCCCATCTATCCTCCTGAAGAAAAGTTTGGTTTCAAACCCCGGTTCGAAGCCATATTATTAAAAGCTAGTGGTAAGAACAAGTTTCGCTTTGTGCTCAAAAATAATATTCCAAAGCTTTTGTTTGTTCTCCATTACTTGTGTGGATAAGGCCTATATTAGATAGTATTTAACTTCAATCATAGGAATCAATTTCTAGTCGCATAGTTTCATAATAATTTTGCAAAACTTTTCATAATTTCTTTTGGATTGTGCTTACGATCGTCATTCAATTGAAAGGATCTTCGTTCCAAAACTGTATGTGAGATTTTCATCTCATACGACTCCTCTCTTATATGCATAATGAGAATAATAATAGAATAAAAAAAAAGATAGAAATATTCTCATTATGAATTGAGCACGGCCAGTGTTTTTACAAGAATTCTCTAGCCAACCATCTGCAAGAGATCTCTACTTAACATCAAATATACTAGTACTACATGGAAATAATAAGTTCAATTCTTTGTTAACTTCAAATGGGATTTTTCTTTTGCCTGCTTATTCAGCTAAACTCTGGAAAAGTTGTTGCCGTTGGTCCTGGGCTTCGTGATCGGGAGGGGAAGGTTATTCCTGTTTCTGTGAAGGAAGGAGATACCGTTCTGTTACCTGAATATGGAGGAACTGAAGTGAAGCTTGCTGATAAAGAGTAAGTTTATATTGCTGTTTATTTCTCTTTTTGATTATGTTTATGTTGTTGTCTTCAAAGTTTATGATATAAGATGTAGTTTCATTGCAAAAATGCACAAATTCTATTACTTATTTATCTCTGAAACTCTTCTATCTAGTTTGACTGATGTTGTGAAGTTCTATCTAGAATCGATGATCATTCTAACAACTGAACAGCTTGCACTGTAATATTATTGCGTTTCCTGTCAGGAGAATGGTATAAATATATGCATTGGTGAAGGGAATGGTGTCTACTGTACCTTCCCTATCCGGAGAAATGTATTTATCTGTGTAGAAAATCATGCCAGAACATGTTTTTGGTGTCCTGACTTATTTCTTGTGAACCTAACTTTTCCCCTATCCTCTTCCTATTCAATTTATAACTTCTGATTAGATATTGAGATGTTTGGTTGTTCCATTCTTATTAAGGTAACCCCTAGGATTCTCATCTATAAAACCACTCACTCTTTTACTGTGCCCATCGATTCTGAGAAGTGATCTGAAAATGAACAGCTTGTATTTCCTCAACACGCAGCCATTGCACAAACATGCAACTAGAGTAAAATGGGTGCATTTTGTCTAGAATTTGCATCTCATATCTCTTCGGATTAAAATTTGTTTAAAAGTCTAGGTTGCAAACCCTACATTTCTTTCAGATGATGTTTTGAATGTCTGCCCAAGAGTAATGTACGTGGTAATATGATTCCAGTCCGAGGTAAACTTTGTGAACTTATTATTCGATCAATTAGACTCTGCTTGTTTATATCCATCAATGTAGGAGTTTTTCCACTGATACCCCAAGTGTTTATGGTTGTTTACCTTAAGTACATTTTTTTTTTGTATGATCTGATGATTAAGGTATTAAAATGCATTTCATTCTCTGCAGTTTAGTGGGGATTAATGCATTTCACTACATCCATGTTTGTTTGAAAAATCTTTCTAGGTTTACCACCTCCCTTCTAGACTTATTATTCCTTTCTAAAGTGTTGTAAACCTAATACAAAAGGTGTGCTGAATGCTAATCATTTTAAACTCATGTTTAGTGCCCGAGAATAGAATCTATTATTTATGCTAAATGTCTGACAACACAATCAATTTTTCATTGATATTAGACTTCCCTTTGCTGGCATAGAAATCCTACACTATACCCGGGACAACAGATTTGTACTCAATTACATGGACTGTTGTAGGAGAACTAGACTTCTTTATTCACCGGGTGCATAGTAATTACCTGACAAAATCACTGATTTTCATTTTAATACCCACCCTCACCCTTGACTTTTGCCCATGCAGCTACACCTTGCTCTGAAAACCATATGGCATACAAGTGGTCTCTGTAGTACTTTGGTTACGGATGACAAAACAATTTTGCTGACAGTATTCTGCAAGGAATGCTATACTTTGAGGGCTTTTAGAGAACCAATAGTCAAATTAGGATGCAGAATTCAAGATGCTACATTGGGGGTTTGGTATTATTGTAGGCTGGAATTCGAGACCAGAAAACAAACTCGAATTAGTCATTGCTGAAGTCTGTCTGTGACTTCCCAGTTCCTACCCCCTTTTCTATGTCAGTTGCAATATAATTCGTGCTCTTCTTTATAAAATTTGGGTGACTGTATCCATCTTGCAACTGTTGTGCGCCACCCACCATCCATAAATCCTAATTCATCATGTTTTCTGTATACCTTTGCTGACTATAACTGTAATATTCTCTTTTTATTCTTTTGCTGCTTCATTCAGCGAGTGCGCAAAGAAATCTTCCCTTTTTGTTCCCTTAAGATTTTTTTTCAATATTAGGTTTTCGAAATGGTCCAAAATCTGGCAAGTGGATAATTGAAAAGGTTCAGTAACTTTTCACCAGACCAATAAGTGGGTTGCTTGGCAATTGCTTTGAAAATAATCCAGGTTCATCGTGTTGGATCACTGGCTACTTATGCAACTATGATATAAGCTTCCCTTTATAAAATGACTTGAAGCTTACTGTTTCCTTTGGACGGTACATTGAGATACATCTTATACTAGTGGTTACCCGTGCTAAGCACAGCAAGTGTTGACAAAACCATAAACAAATTATGTTTCAACAATGTAAATGATGCAAAACTTAAACAATACTAACAATGTCCAAATCACAAAACAAATGTCCATGGTAAAGTAAATGGTTGGCTGCAAAAACGGATGCCATGTGAAACACCCTCCAAATTCATTCGTCCAATTCAATCAATGTTCAAAATACCAGAGTAGCAAAGAAATACACAATGCCTACTAATATTAGAATATTAAGCAATTAAGATTTCTTCAACAAAGATGACAAAGCTAAATACGCATACTTGCTAAACACATCCAGCCTATACTCCATCTCTTTCTCAGCCAACTCTAACACTTCAAGGAAAATGACACCAAACTTGATCCTAACTCACGCAATAAAATTCATTAAATTCAATTACGCAGACACCATCTCTATGAGAAAAACACCACCATAACATCAATTCCATGCAAGCACTTGCTTTAGGACCAATTATAAAACTGAAAAATCAGTCACAAATAATTTAAAAAAATGAAACATTCACAGCCTCCTTAAATTTATATAATCCACTATCTCTTAGGCATTACTATCCTTACCCTAGATAAATAAGAAAAAAAGTTTTTTTATTCCTAATTTAATATGACAATATATTTAGGAAAAAATTCGTGGATTAAAAAAATTTCCTAATCAATTCATTTAAAATTTATTATTATATACTTCCTACATCATAAGGACATAAAACTACTTTTGCCATCATCACCGGTAGAGAATCCATTGTGTTGGTGCAGAATTATAACTAATTGGATCAAATAACCATACTAAATTATAATGAATTAGATCAAATATGAAATAACCATACAAATAAGTTTCTAAGCGTAATAAATTTCAAAAAATATATTATGCAAAAATTCCTCTAAAAAGAGGACTCCAAAAAAATTTGTCACAATAGACATAACTCATAAAGTTGACAATGAGAACCATTTTGCAAACTAATTGAAAAGCCCCATTCCTTATATTTGGTGCTTCATAGCCTGTAAAACATAGAGTTTTTAAATAAGATAAAAGCTAACATTTTCCTTAAAAAAGAACCAACCATTGCAGAAGCATGGTATATCAAAGATTGATACATACAAACGAAATACCAATGGTCATGTAGTATATAACTACCAATACCATGGTGGCTAACTAAATATACATCTTAAACTTCTTACATGAAGAAAAAAGTTGAATTGAAGACATTAACACCCTACTAAAACTCTCAAACGGATCATAGGTATAATATGTAGAAACAACCATGTGTTTAATGGATCTAAGAATGAAAAACACAAGTTGAAAAATACAAATTCCAAGCAAAAAGCTATAAAATGATGTACAAATACAATTATATTGAATTAGCAGACCAAAAGAATTGCAAACTTGGAATTTAAGAAACAGAAACTACATATATATCTTCTGTTGACATACATAAAAATGAGAACCAAAAGTAAAAAAAAAAATGTTCGGCGAGTAGTAATGTGTAACAAAAAGTATAAATTGGTTTTACCAGGTTACATGGTACCAAGTTGGCAACCATAATTTTTCCAAGCTATAAAATTTTGTGCATCTTTAGATTTTGTCGACACTTCTTGATATGAACTCAAATAATTTCATCCGTGTTATGTAAGTTGAAAAATTTTCAACTATCACAAAATCAAATAGCTAAACTCAGCAACTTAGAGGGAATATTGATATGTTAAATAGATTTGAATTGAATCTTTGACATGGACATTGAAGTGGCAACCTTGCAAAGTCTGAAAGGGATTCAAAGTGCCCACGTCAAACCTGCTTCCGCCCAACATTGGATGCAAAACTGGAACAAATTTTAATGAAAAAACACATGTATACAATAGATCTGAGATACATAAAAAAAGAAACTCAGACCAAAGGACAAATATATAGTACTGTGTAATGATTGATGCACAATAGATCTTTGAGAAATTTTGTTGAACATGTGAGATACGCCAAAAATTGTCAATCCAATTAATAAAAGGAAAAGATGAAAGAAATCAATGGACAAAATCATGCAAATAGTAACATAGTACATGCATTAGTACAGGCATAATGACTTCGTTTCCTCGGCCTGCTATGCGAGATTTTGCATGGTCAAAAGGACACTCCAAAGTCAGAAACCAAGGATTACTTCCAAGTTTTCTCACCAAATACTCCATTAGATCACCAAGATATGGGAAATCTTAAAAATCAACAAAATTTTCAATCCCCACACGTAAATATACATAGAAACACACACATTTCTTCTTTATTTACACATGAAACTGTCCACCCACTTGTGGGAAATTAGAGAAAAAATAGTAGAAAAGAAAATTGGGAGACAATACCTTTTTTTAAATAAGTCAATATTGTTGGACCATATATCATAACATCTCAAGACATGCATAGCTTGGATTAACAAACTAAAAGCCATCAAAATATTTGCAAATAAATGAAAATCCGATAACTTGTAAACGTAAATAACTAAACGCATGATACCTTCGTGACACACATTGCATTGATACCTTGCCAACCATTCTATGAATAAGAAGTTCTCATCCACCAAATCTAGTATTAATCACACTATACACATGCTTATTGACGAAATTCACATACCAATAACAACATGCCACTGATAGACACAAATGCTTCAATATTTTTAACACATTTATTAGAAATTCAACATAAGCATCAACTCGTCCAAATCTTCGGCCCATGTCACCACCACCCCCTTACACAAAACCATTAACATGTCATCACCACCATTAAACCCAACACACCAAAAAGTAATAAACTCAATCTTCCAACTTTTGACAAAATCAATATGATAATATAATTCAAAAAATATAGAAAAGTCAATCAGTGATCAATTGGACCCCAATATTACTACCTGGGTGATCCCCCAAGCACATCAATATGAAGCTGACAACAATT